ATGGTGTCTCTCCCATTTGGTTGCTCACATTCAAGTTAAGGCCTAAACCGACCAAATCCTTAATGATTTCAAGAATGTGAAGTTCGTCTTCACTACACTTGCGCGACAAGGCTGTATGCAACACAGTGTTTCCCCTGACGTCCACAGCAGCAAATGTATCTGAACAGCTTTTTTCCTGCAACAACCGCCTCAGCAATGTAATATTGTGAGTCTGGACGGCGAGATGCAAGACAGAACAATGCTCATTATCCTTAAGGCAAAAGTCCGGCCGATACTGCAAGATAAGCGTAGTGGACACGTTGTCCCCCCGCCTGACAGCAGCATGGAAAGGCGTCTCTACGGGATACTGTTTACACGCCGGCGGGGGCTGGCTCTTCGTGTTCGGCGACGCCCCTCGCCGGAGCAGCTCCTCCACCCCCTCGTGCCAGCCCTCGCGCACGGCCACGTGGAGGGCGGTGTTTCCTTGGCCGTCAAGTACCTCTACCTGTAGACAAAGACAATTGTTGAAACCAACAGAAATTATTTCATGAAGATCAGATCCGAAGAGCAGTAGCCAAACGAAATCCCTTCACAATCCCTAAATAGCAGGAAGAAAAAACTAAAGCATACATAATCAAATGGCTAATAACACACCTGGGCTCCTCTAACAAGCAATTCCGTAAGAGCGGGGAGGTTGTGGGCGTGGCAGGCGGCGTGGAGGGGTGTGTCTTGATCATGCCGGAGATGCACAGACTCAGGATTCTGTCGAAGCAAGTCCAGTAACTCTACCAGGCCGTCGACGTGACCCTGAATTGCCTGGAAAGGGATTCTTACTTTAGGGACTGCTGTTGTAAACTTCTGAGGGTGCTGGCCTGGGAATAAAAATCACTAAGTGCAAGCTTTTAACATTAGCTTTATCTGCAATCCTATTAAAATTACTATTATTATTATTATCTTCGCTATTATAATAATCATATTTATTAATGTTCATATGCACAAATAATCATTACCTTCCTTCGGCTGGTGTCTTAATTCTTGACGATACGATGTAAAAAGATTCCTGATTTTCACATCCACAAAATATATTTACAAAATAATTACATGCAGTTAAATAAAATTAATAAAACTCGGTCAAAGATTCTCAGAATAATGGATCACTAAACGTTTGCGATCTGGAGGCAAGAGAAAATTTATTCAAAGTTGAATCAGTATGCTGTAACAATCTGCTAATTGTTTGATAATTTCTTTAATTACACTATTCTATAAAGGAAGATAATCAAATAACATTCTGTATCCATCCTCATTAACAAGGTTTCTGATTAATCACCTGACAACCTGCTCATTGTTGATGAAAAGAATTAAATAATGCTCGACTTGTATCCTGAGCACTGCACTTCGACGGGAGCAAACTACCTGGAAAAGTGGAGGAACTTCCTCGGTAATCTTGTTCAGCTCCTCCTTGGCGACGGAGTACACCCTGGCGCCGCTCGAGTCCAGCCTCACAGGAGGGGGTTTGAAGGGCTCCTGGAGAGGAAGCATGAGGTGGTCATCCTCCCCTCCGCACATCGTCGGGTGCCTGCAGGGGGGAGGGAAGGTGTAGGGGAGTGGCCACATATGGGATAGAGCGGCTTCTCGATTTGCTGGGAATGACTTAATTCAGGAGGTCTGAGAGGTGTCTCACTCTCCCTCTCTCTATACCTCTCCCTATACCAGTGGTTCCCAAACTGGGCCTTGGCCCCCTGGGGGCCATATAGCAGAATACAGAGGGCCATAATCTGAGGATACGATGCGTGTATAAAACTAATGGGATTTTGTGGGTAGGCATTAGTTGACAAAATTCCGATGATTGAAGAGTCAATCAGCGGAATTTTGTTTTATCTTGTTTCGTGTGTTTATTGTTGAAACAGCCTCCAGCAATATATCCCTTTTTTATTACAGTATACTGGTGCATTATATTATTGAATTTCTTTAGCATCATTTAAAAATGCCATTGTTACAACTTTTTTTTGCATGGCATCAATGAAATTACGGTAATTGCTAGAGGGTTCATAAATGGACCCAATAAATGTAGGACTGTGGTCACTGTAGTTATGTGTTATACCTAGCGGTGAGCCATGGACAAGTATCCTGTATGAAAATTGTGTAACGACCAGAAAAGTTTGAGAACCACTACCCTATACCTCTCCCTCTATTCCCTTCTATCCTTTTCCCTCCCTCTATTCCCTTCTATCCCTCCCCCCTCTATTCCCTCTATCCCTCTCCTCCTCCTATCCCTTCTACCTCTCCTCCCTCTAATCCCTCTATCCTCTCCTCCCTCTAATCCCTTCTATCCTCTCCCTCCCTCTAATCCCTTCTATCCCTCTCCTCTCCTCTAACCCTTCTATCCCTTCTCCTCCCTAATCCCTTCCATCCCTCTCCCTCCCTCTAATCCTTTCCATCCTCTCCTCCCTCTAATCCCTTCCATCCCTCTCCCCCTCTAATCCTTCCATCCCTCTCCCTCCCTCTATCCCTTCCATCCCTCTCCCCCCTCTAATCCCTTCTATCCCTCTCCCCCTCTAATCCTTCTATCCTCTCCTCCCTCTATCCCTTCTATCCCTCTCCTCCTCTATTCCTCTATCCCTCTCCTCCCTCTATCCTTCTATCCCTCTCCCTCCTATTCCCTCTATCCCTCTCCCTCCCTCTATCCCTTTCATCCCTCCCTCCCTCATTCCCTTCTTCCTCTCCTCCCTCTATTCCTCTATCCCTCTCCCTCCCTCTATCTCTTCTATCCCTCTCCCTCCCTCTAATTCCCCTTCTATCCCTCTCCTCCCTCTAACCTTCTATCCTCTCCTCTCCTCTAATCCCTCTCCCCTCCTCA